GATGAATGGCAAAGGCCGTTTTATTTATTCGTGAATTTTGTGAACCTCCTAACATGTTGGTTGGTCTTAGTATTTATGAATTTGTTTGATTTTTGTGAATCTCTTTGCATTTGTGGACCATAATCTTTTTATTTGTAAATACGAAACAATTCTAGACAGGCAACAGTGTGCAAAATTAAGATAATCAAATTACTGTTGAAAGAACTCCACGATGGAACATACAGTACTAGCTATACTGAATTTGTTTGAATACAGGATTATGGAGTAAAGAATGGAGTCTAATCAGTGGGGGGACAAAATTTTATTTTGTCATGGAACGAATCGCTCAGCGGGAGTTGCCATTTTGTTTCATAATTGCCCTGGAAAACTAATTGTACATAAATCCAGTGATAATGGTCACTGGCTCGTTTGTGTGCTTTCCATTGATGACATGTTTATTATAATAGGAAATATATATGGTTATAATACTATTAATCAAAACAGGGAACTGCTATCGGAAGTTTCTGAAGTTATAATGGGCCTGAAACTTGCATATTCCACAGACAATATTATATTAGGAGGGGATTTTAACATGGTGCAGGATGATTGGCTGGACCGCTTTCCATCTAAATTTAATAGCCATCACTACAATCCTATTTTATGTAATTTTTGTAGTTCATTTGGCCTGTTTCGCGACTAAACGAGACGAAATAACGTTAAAACATTTCGTTTCGTCTCGTTTTGGTCAACGAAAATGAAGAAACATTTTAGTCTCGTTTTTATTCGTCAACAATATTGCATTATACATTTAATTATAGTCACATGACCAGCATTTTCGTTGCATCTCGTCTCGTTTTCGTCACGTGATAAAGGTTCGTTGACGACGATATTTAGTCATAATTTTCGTTGACGAAAGCAACACTATATATATGCATCATGCCTAAAACAGTAGCCTACATTACCGACTTTCCTGTATCTCGTCCGTTCTTTTTCAGTCACTCCTGAAACTTTGCTGCATGTACAGGGTATGTGGCTGTTGGTCCTGTTAGCAGCACCTAAAACAAAACTTTTATTCAAATTCTGAATTGATTATAGCCTGCCTAGAAAGCGAGCAAATAGCGCTTCCATATATTCACTAAAAAGTAATTGACAGAAAATTCAACGACGTCAAGGCTTATAATGTGATTGGTCATCAAGGCACACGTGATCCAAGTTGGCCGTTACGCTTTCTCCAAAGCATTGCTGCGGACTTTGGTATCTCCAAAAAATAAGACCATCTCTGGTTGAATCTCTTTCAGTCTTACGACCGTCACTCACCATTTGCGAATATCACTGAAATGAATGTGGAGTGCTGTAAAATTAATCATGTCTGTCGCAAATTTTGTTTTCTCTTATAAATCAGCGATATTTTGTACACTACAAATATAGCCCATTCCAAACTGTATATGTAACGTTAACCCAAACATGATTAGCACCCAAACAGCAGGACTGCCAAATTTGGTTGCCTGTCTGGAGTTAGATTTTGTCCTCTGAACAATAACATGGTGTCATCTATTTTTCTTGTAGTGCCTAAACTTAAGGGACTCTTATTAAGATCTCGTTGAAGTTACTTTAAATATAATCTCTTTCCATTTCCATGAAAATGTGTTAGAATATATATATATATATAGCCTATACCTTTTTTTAATGAATCCTTAAATTAAATTCATTTTAAGGATTCACTTTTGAAAAAAATGAATGAAAAATGAAAAAATATGACAAAAAAATGTGCCACAAATGTGTATCCTGGTGGAAAACAAAGACTTTTAAGATGGAAATGACATGAAATCATTTTTTTTGTGTGTATACAGTGGAGATCAAAATTAGAGACATAGAATTTCCAAAATTTCAAGGTCATTGCTTAGTCCTATTTGAAGTTGTCCTAACAGAAGTAGAATGGCAGTTTTTAAGCATATTTCATAAATTAATTGTATATTCTGAAGCACAGTATACATACATACATATATATATATATATATATATATATAACTTAAATGAGATATTTGAAAAAGAACTCTGATCAAAATTAGAGAACACTTACAGATACCTCTAATTTACAGAAGTTATTGATGATAATCTGCATGGTACCTGGTGCTAATTTCCTTAATTTTATGATAAACCCTATTTAACTGGCAGCATTCCTCCAATTTTAACTGAGATTGAAAGATGGCAGGGTGGCAAAGGGACTGAAACCCTGTGACAGCAGGTTGTCCAAATGAAGGCCAAAGGGATGACACTTTCAGCCACTGCAAGAGAACTTTGTCATCCCAAATCTGTGATTTCTCAAATATTGCAGCTTTACAATGACACTAATTCATTCAAGTCCCCCAAAAAGGCTGGTCGTCCACATAAGACAAATGCACGAAAAGACAAGATAATGCAGAGACTCTCAAGGGGGAATTGGTTCAACACTGCAGCTGGAATTGCTTGCCAGTTCAGTGCTGAACATGGTAAGGATCTGTCTCAGCACATTAAAGAGAAATCGGACTGAAAGCACACTCTGCAGTGACCAAGCCTCTCGTCAGCAGAAAAAATCAAAAGGCTAGGCTCACCTTTGCTGAGGAACATGCTGAGGTCCGATGGGAAACATTATGTTTGGCATCAAACAGGGAAAGACTGAAGCCAAATTGCGTAAAGTCAGTGAAAGGTGGAGGAGTCATGGTTTGAGAGATGTTTTCTACAGCAGAACTTGGGCCTCTTAAACAGCTACATGAATGCAAATGTTTATCAGAACCTCTTTCAGCAACATGCAGTTCCTTCCCTGCAAGCATCTTCCAATCAGCGAACAATTTTCATGCAAGACAATGCCCCTGTCACATAACAAAACAAGGTGGTTCCTTGAAGCCAAGACCATTGAAATAATGAAATTGCCAGCCCAGTCCCTTCAGCAACATGCATCCTCCTTCCCTGCAAGCATCTCTGAATCAACCTGCAATTTTCATGCAAGACAATGCTCCCCGTCACACTGCAAAACAGGTAAAGCAGTTCCTTGAAGCTAAGAACATTGAAATAATGAAATGGCTGGTCCAGAGTCCTGATCTAAACCTGATTGAAAATCTCTGGAAAATCCTTGGCAACAACGTTATGGCTAAGAAACCAACTACAGTTACCAAACTATGGAAGAGAGTGGAAGAAGTGGACCAAGATCACACCAGCACAGTCTGAGAAACTAGTGATGTCCTGTGGCCACAGATGTGCAGAAGTCATTCAAAGCATGGGCCTCTACACTTCCTACTAATTTGTGACCCTGGACCGCAAAACCTGTCTTAAGTGTCAATTTTCCAAAATGGAGATGTATACACCATCTGAAAGCTGAATAAATAAGCTTTCCATTGATGTATGGTTTGCTAGGATAGGCTGGCAATATTTGGCTGAGATACAACTATTTGGAAATCTGGAATCTGAGGGTGCAAAAAAATCTAAATATTGAGAAAATCGCCTTTAAAGTTGTCCAAATGAAGTCCTTAGCAATGCATATTACTAATCAAAAACGTTTTGATATATTTACAATAGGAAATTTACAAAATATTTTCATGGAGCATGATCTTTACTTAATATCCTAATGATTTTTGGCATAAAAGAAAAATCTATAATTTTGACCCATACAATGTATTTTTTGGCTATTGCTACAAATATCCCCGTGCTACTTGAAGGGTTAGTTCACCCCAAAATGAAAATTCTGTCATTAATTGACATCGGTAAAACCGTCCATGTGACATCAGTGGTTCAACTTCAGTTTTGCGAAGCTACGAGAATACTTTTTGAGCGCAAAGAAAATTTAAAAAAAATTTTTTCAACTATTCCCGAGTCTTCCGCCATTTTGGAGAGAGTGTAATCGACGTAATCAGTGTTTATGTTCAGGGGAGAACGCGAGTGTATAAAACATAATCTGCGTAATCAGCGTTGTTTACGCTTAGGGGAAAGCGTGTGTATGCATTGTGATACTCTCTAAAATGGCAGAAGACATAACTCGGGGGAGAAGAATTGTTGAAAAAAATTATTTTTTTGTTTTCTTTGCGCTCAAAGTATTCCCGTATCTTCGCAAAACTGAAGTTGAGCCACTGATGTCACATGGACTGTTTTACTGATGTCCCTTACTACGTTTCTGGACCTGGGAACATTACAGTTGTGTTGCTGTCTATGCAGGGTCTGAGAGCTCTCACATTTCATCAAAAATATCTTAATTTATGTTCCGAAGATGAACGAAGGTCTTATGGGTTTGGAACAACATGAGGGTGAGTAATTAATGACAGAATTTTCATTTTGAGGTGAACTATCCCTTTAAGACTGGTTTTGTGGTCCAGGGTCACATTTCTGACAGCTGTAAGAATTTCTGGAAAAATTCATAAATCAAGGATTTATAGATTATTCTCTAATTTTGATCTCCACTGTATATAACAGATGTATGTAACCCAAAGTCATTATTTTCCTGATACAATGCTAGCTTTAGTATAGCAAAAACAAGACATTATTTAGCAAACATATCACACTTTGACAAATTTTTACAGTATAAATGGCTATTTAGGAATGAAATAAATAGCTGCCTTTAGATTTTATGAAGGGGGTGAATACAGATTCTTGCAAACTGTAAAATGTTGTTTTCGGTCTACATTTACAGGTTTTGCCCCATCTACAGTAATGTAATTTTAAGATGGACTATGAGACTGATTCCATTGGTGGTTACTTGATGACAACTCCAAGAATGAGAAATTTACTCACAGCATTCAACGAAAGCATTTTTAACATGGAAAATCATCTCTCTTATTACATGTGCAAAGACAAAAGTGTTCTGGTGCTTTTAAATCTTTGGGTGTTCAAGCACCAAGCCATGCCAACTACTTGCTACGTGTAGTGAGTATTTGAGGTAGGACTACCTGTTTTTCTGAGCAAAAACAGAACTACTCAGATGTCTATATTTGGTACACTGTGAAAAATGTAAAAGAAAATGTGTTAATAAAGATACTGAGACCTATACAAAAGATTTCTTTATTATGTACAGAATGACTACATATTTCAAAACTTGACGTCAACATTTGAACTACATGACAGTACTTCCAGTGTTTTAACACTTCAATGTATTTAAAAAGAGCTCAGTGCTTTGGTCTGTTCATGGGTTTGCACCGCCAACTCGATGAATCCTGCTCTGTTTGACTCATACTGGGCATATATCTAAAAATAAGGGGGAAAATAAAGACAGGAAAAACATCAGACATGAACATATATGTACAAAATTGATTACCACAAGCCTATCTTTAAAAAACAACAACTACAACAACAAAACAACAAGAATTATACTACTGGTATTTTTCTTTGGGATTTGCATTATTCTTTATATAATACTCTTGGTCTATTTTTTACATGACTTTTAAACAAACTTTTAATATGCCAAAAATAAAGCCTTAAGCCGATTATAACCTAAATCTACTGTGATTATTTATTTTTTTACTGCCTTAAATGTTTACCTGGCTTTTATTCGTTCCAACAGTACCAGTGGTTTTTGGACTCTGACATTTATCACCTTGGATGTATGAAGTTTGTGTACTAACCAGTGTTGTTTTAGTATCACTAACATACTATTAAAGTTCTTATTAGTATTTAGATTTTTTTTAAATACTTACATTTTAATTGTAGCTAGTTTTAGTAATTTTATCATTTTATTATGTTTTTTTTGTATGTATTGTAGGGTATCAGACCGAATCAGACAATTTAAGGTTTGATAAAGAACAGTTGAAACACGAGGAGCCGAATTCCACAGAGAGGCCCAAGACACAGGATGTTCGTAAATCAGATCCTGGCGCCACAAGCCTGAACCAACTAGCAGCTTTGAGTAGCTCACAGCATTTAAACAAAAGAACACTTATTGACAATTCCAAGGAGAGTGTCAATTTTGGGGGCAAGTAATCAAGATTAATGGTCAGAGATGCACAGCATGACCATGTAAACCAGTGACGATCACGAGCTCTTTGGATTGACTTCCCCCACCTCGACGACAAAGAACAGACCAAGATTCCTTACAGACCTCTTAATCTCTGGTGAAGACGTATTGACAATTCCAAGGAGATTGTCAATTTTGGGGCAAGTAATCAAGATTAATGGTCAGAGATGCACAGCATGACCATGTAAACCAGTGACGATCACGAGCTCTTTGGATTGACTTCCCCCACCTCGACGACAAAGAACAGACCAAGATTCCTTACAGACCTCTTAATCTCTGGTCTTCACAGATATGTCCACATAAATTCACAGAATGGCACAGAAACTGCCTTTCCATGCACCTAAATGACACTAAAAGGAATTGTGAGCAACTAATTTCTATGCATAACTCCATATTATGTATGTAACCCACATCTGTGACTATCAGGTCTTAATCATTTATTGTGTATGTATTTTGAATAACTATTGAATAGCTTAAGGGTTCATATTCATGTTTAGTGTCTGAATGTTTGAATCTTCTTGCTTGAAACGTTTCTTCCAATCAATTCTTTGTCAAATGTATCATATTCTTGTTATAGAAATCATGTCCAAAAGTATACTCTGCAAGAGCGTTAAAAACTCAGACCATGTGACTGATGAGACAACATTTGATTTATGAATGGGGAGGAGAAATATACAACACCCCAGCAAAGACGATATCTAATTGGTCAAAGCACCATTTGGGATGTGTCCAAGAGCCCAGTTTAAATACTCAGGACACCATCAAAT